GTCCCTCCATATGTAACTAATATGCAAAACTCAAGATAGAAAATGAAAATTCTAAAAATCTTACTTTCGTCATTCAAAACGTAAATTTATCAACTTCATATTTTAATATATTAATATAGAATAAGTACCTACTTTCTTCTTCACTCTTTTTGTTTTTTAAATTTCCGGAGCAAACTTCCCTTAATTTGAGAAAGAAAGAGATATATGAATGAGATTTATTTAAACATGCCTTACACACACTCTTTTTACCTCTGTCAGCCAAGCCATTCAATTAATAAAATAAAATAAAAATGGAATGGAAAAATAATTATATAGATATGAAACATCTAACGTATCCTTATTAAATGAAAAAAAAATTACTAGAACTAATAACTAATAACTCCATTCTGATAATTATAACCACCTATTTTATCTCCCCTATGTGGAAAAACAAATTTCTAATTAATTTGCGTAGTGTTTTCATAGTTACTATTTTAAAGAAGATTTATTTAGATAACTTAAACTGACGAATTGTGACTATATATACTATAAATTAATTGGCTTAGAATTAATTAGATAAGTTGAATAACCCAAATTTAGAAGAAAGTCCAAAGAGGTTAACAATAACCACTCATTCAAAGACTAGGTACATATAAAACCTACCTTGAAACATTCAAACTCACATCCTTCTTCAATTCATTCATTCATAACCCATTTTCATTCCTTCAATATTTGTTCATTTTTCTGCAAAAACATGGTTTCCATGAAGAGCAGCAAGATCTTTGTCATCCTTGTGCTTCTCTTATTCACTTCTGGTAAGAAAAATAATTAAATTCGCAATATTATATATATTCCTAATTTATTTGCTTGTGTTTTTTAGTAATTAATGGCAGTTTTTTTTTCACATTTGTTCTGCAATTTTCATTTATGCGTTTTTTATTGTTGAAAGTACAGAGAACCCAGATGTAGTATTGAACTCAGACACTTACACTTCTTGATACAAAGAATAAATAACACAATTTTTCTTCCTTCCTTCCTTTCTTTTTCTCTTTTTCTTTTGAAAATACACATAACATTTTATCCATCTTCATGATAGACACAAACAAACTTTCACTAAAAATACAAGAATAATCTGTATAGCTTTACCAATAACCATATGAGATATCTCTGTGATTTATTTTGTTTTAAATGGAAGTTTGTATTAGTTTTAAAAATAAAAAGTTCAAGAAAGAACCATGTAAACTGCTTGAACTTTTAATTTGAGTAAACTACTAATCTTGCTTGAATCAATTTAATCTCATCTCTTTGTTAAAATGAAGTACATAAGTACAATATATTATCCCTTGTTTGACCTAACCTAATATGTTGTTTGTGATATCCTTATAAAATAGTAATACTTAATTATTTCCCATACATTGATTAAGAAGAGTTCTGTGTAATTTATTTTTTTAAAATGAAATATGTTTAAATATTACAATTGAAAGAGAAAGACATGCAACAATATCAACACAAATCTACAAAATATACCATTTTATGTAAACTTTACCTTGTAGCATACTATAATTATTAGCATGTAATGAATAGAGTGACTTATTTTATTTTTTTAATCATGCTTTATGTAACCTACAAAAATTTATGGATGAACGACGACGACGACGCAGGTAGTGAGGTAGTAAGAGGGCAACAAGTCATATTTTGTAAGGACACAAAGGACTTGGGTGGTTGTACACCTGAAAGGTGCAGTGACTTGTGTGAGCAATGGTATGGACCCTCAAATGGAAATTGCGTGGAGGATAGCAAATGTGAATGTTCATGGCCTTGTAACAAATGAATATGTTTATATGAACATGTTTTAAGCAAAAATTTTTAATTTCTAGCAATGAGAGGATATATCTGCCACACACATGCATATGTATCCAATTTATAATTTCTTAAGTAAATTACTCTTGTGGTTTCTATTCCTTGTTTTAATATATATTGTTAAAATTTGTTGTTGATTTATTATTTGTATTCTTTTGAGTAAACAATTCAATTTGTATCTTCATAATTTTAATGAGCTACATGGGATCCAATGGATCAGCTCCAACTTGTTAGCTAGAAGCATAGTTTATGTTTGTATTTGTATATTTATAATGTACGATATACGATTCACAAGTTTAGCAATAATTAATTATATATGGTATATGGTAAAGTTGGTCAATATATCAATATATAGTAAATAATTTATAAGAAGCCACGATATTTATACATAAGTTATATTATGAATAATCTGACTCATTATTTAGATTTTATGCAATGCACAAGTCTATGTCAAATTCATTTTTAAAGTTGTTAAAATATTTTTATTTTTTTTTTTTCTTTCTTTCTTTTTTTTCCTTCTTGTTTATTTTTTACAAGAAGAGAAGAAACTTTATTAACTATCAAAGTCAAATTTCATCAACTAATAAAAAAGCAAGCCAACATGCTGCTTTTTTCAAAATTCTTAAAAGACCAACTTATTAGCCTTTTTCTAATAAAAAAGCATCCTTCATTATGAAGCTAATATTAAAAGGGGAAAATCCCAAAAATAATACAAAATTTTACCCTTTTTAGAGTTTCCTCCGTAATATTTTTTTTCTTCTTCCTATTTCTCTCTCTATCCAAATGAAACCTAAAGGCCTATTTGGTTGCTAGAGTCAAGGTTTAAGGAATGAAAATGAGGTTCTTATTTAAACATAATCATGTTAGTTATGCAATTATCTTAGGATTATTTTTTTCCATGGGGAAATCCAATATTACAAATCTAAGAACTAACATGCTATTAGCAAACTTCATAAATTCATAATTTATGACTCACAGTCCTGAAAATTACCATTTGAACTAAATCTAGTTTCCTCACTCACAGTGCTTCTAAGTTCGAACCTATCTCCCCCACTACGTATTTTGATCACTTTATTTTTCTTTTTTTCAATTTTATTCCCACTCATTCAAACAACCAAGCGAGCTCTAAAAGTTGTTTAAAAAGGTTAGATGGGAAGCACGTGCAGTTTAGCAAATGTTAAAATATCAAACTGAGGTTAATTAAATGAGTTACAAAGCATCATATATGCCATAAAAAATTATCATACGATTTGAGAGATAATATGTTCACACAAGTAATGACTGATGAAAATCTCGAGCAAACCTCGGACAAGAACCGGATAAATTTTGATAACCTTGAGCAAATCTAGACAATGTTCGAGCAAGTCTCTAGCAAATTTAGACAATCTCGAGCCAACGGTAGGTCTGAACATGCCGCGAACAAGTCTTGATTTGCTCACAAATAAGTTCATGGTAGGTCCAAACCTGCCACAAATCCAGACTCGCTCACGGGCAACAAGATTACTAGTCAATTTTTTCGGGCAATTTTATCATTAAGTGATCTACATGAAACGGTAATCTCTCTTTCATGAGAATTTCCCATTTTCATATAATTCCAAGTTTTGGTTTTAAACATGAACGGGCGCATGAGAATATGCAATTCCACGTCAAATTCAAATTTTATTAATTTTATTAACAATTCCTTTGCCTCGAATTTTTGATGAATCCCTCGATGAAATTTAGACGGAACCACGATTAATTAATTAGATCGAACCAAATAATCCGGTCTACTGAAGAGATTACATTAATTGACCGAACTGAGTAATCCGGTCTACTTTTTATAACTTTGACATCAGATACACAAACACATGCAGAGACTTGGCTGGTAATGTTGAATCCATGCATAGTTTAATAACAGGCATTAATGTGTAGAAGAGAATATTCTCTCTAAAATAATTATCAAAATGGCTAGCAGATCTTTAATCAAGTTATCCAAGTTTTTTCTCTCCTACTTTTCTCACTCGTCTTTAACTTTTCAATTAACCCTCTCAGCATGACCAAGGCTCACCACATATTGGGACTAAGTCTGTAGAGATTGTAAGAAACAAGGCCTAGAGGCTGGTTTACATATCGCCTTTGTCTTCATTTCTGTTAATTACAAGAGGTACCTACAATCTGGCACCAACAAGGGCAAGGCATTCAATAGATTGTTTCCTTTGGCTTTTCAATGTTTCTGTTTCAACATGAAAACTAACATTCTAGAGTTCACACTTACCAAGCATTGAAAGAAGCATAATATCAGGCTTCTCTTGCAGGTCTAATTTGTGGAGGATAAAAATTAGAAGACATGCAAGAATCATGGACAATTAACCTTCTACCAAACATTTTACCATCATGCCGCCTGCAATTTTTGTAGACACCCTTAAATTTCTCTCCCTTACTTTACTTGACAGTAAAGTGGGCCAAATCCACTTCAGTCCACTTTCCCAAATGAATCCTACCATATATAAGTAGCATCTACAGACAGGAACATATTCCAGCATGAGTGGGGATCCAAGAAGAAAGGCACGGCCAAAAGGAACCAAGACAAGATTAGATGCTGATATTATAAAACTACTGATATCTGGAATCTTTTCCCTGCCACTCTCTTCCAGATTAATATCTGGAATATTAACCTCCACATCTTTTCTCACACTAGTTTGGAAGAAAATATAGTTCTGGAATCAAGTGAATTTACTGGTCCAGTTTCCAAGAACATATAAGCATCATATTCCAGTTTACTGCTGATCTCAGCAGACAGCAGGTACACCATGTAATATGTACCTTTTCATTTTTGGGTAAGCTGACTGAAGGTGTCATTAGGATTAGCCTGAAACTAATTCTCCTCTCCAAGCAAATGTAAAAGTAAACTCTCCTACATTGATCTGATTTTGTAAATTTAAGATGTTACTCTGAAAGTACTTCTTTCAAAAATAAAACCCAAGCTGATTAAAAAACATCATCCATCTCACTAACCAAGCCAACTAATGTGTATATAATCAACTTCATTTTGTTTCATGAAGATGGTTAATCTTCCACTGCACGACGAGAAGACATTCAACAAAGTCCTAATGATACTACCTTCCTGTCAATGAGGACCTATACCATCTTTGGGATAGATAGACAAAATCATATCCATGCACTTGATTGAAGGCCCGAGAATTAGATACTAATTAAATGCTTGCCTTACACCATTTCTTGACCTTAATGGTGTTTTAGATAAAAGCTCGTTAAGGAAGTATGTCGATCTGGTGAGCATTTAATCATAGTAATACAAGAACTCAAACAAGCCCGCCTCAATAAAAAACATGGTAAAATATTTAAGATCAAGACTGGTGCCTAGGAAGCTTTAGTTAGAGCAGAACATTATATGCTTGTGCAATACTAAAGTAACCACCATGATTGTGAAAATGGAACAGCTGAAATAAAGGAAACTTCACCACCTCTTCCACACAAGTCTCAACAGGAAAGTTGACCAAATAGCCTCTAGTTCTTGGATGTTGATCAGTTAATGGGGTGTTGGATGGGGGATTCTTGGCCTCACCGGTGTCTTTGAAGGACTTACCCTGCAGAATAAGGAGGAACCAAATTGCAAATATGATCAAACTGTATTTGGCTAAGATCTACATAAAACCATTATCCTCCAGTGCAGGGGCCAAACCTGATAGGCTGGCTTCCCAAGGGCATCCCACTACAATTTAGTGCAACAATGGCACTTTCCGCCTGCTCAAAAAGAAAAAGAAGTCAGTCATGATGGACCCTCTTGTGCAAGTCTTTCTTGGTGTTTACAAACATAAATAAAAACATATTTTTCAAGTCATGAATCTTTAAATGTATCACCTTCTAAGATCCAGTAATAAGTGAAATATCATGAAATATAAAATAGGACATATCAATATACTGAAAGTTTTGGTTGTTAATAGAGCATAATAATAGCGTGCCATTAATATAGCTAACCCTACCCAGTGGGATAAGGCTTGCTGTTGTTATTTATAAAATAAGACATATATATATCCTTGCAACAGACATAAAATACTTAAAATCACAAATCTAACCCAAAAAATTAAGGAAAGCACAAACATAAAAGGTGTGAAAAGTAGGAGGCAAGCAAGAATTTAGCAGGCTTTGGGAGAGACTCTAGCCTCTCAAGCCAAAAGGTGTGCTTGTTTTCTAGTGTCCTTTATTCTTTCTTCTTGCGTTGCTTCAGCATGTTATCTTGTTGTAAGCACTGGCTTGCTAATTCCTATAGCACCCCCCCCCGGGGGGGGGGCGCTTAGAGAAGAAACCATAGCTTCATAGATATATTAATATTATTAGTTTCTATTGGATTCCATCAGAATCATAAGATTCAAATTGTCGATCATATAATTCAGGACAACCTTTGATTCAACTACCAATTCACAGTTAGTTTTGTGACTCGTTGCAAAATTGTAGGATTCAAATCCTAAATCATACAAGTTTCATTACCATGATCATAGAACAATTTTGTCTTTTGGTCGGCAGAAAAATAACATTTTGGTATTTTTACTTGTTTGTTTGTTTCCCATTGGTTCTTAACTTTCAATTGGTTCCATAATTGTCCTTGACATTTAAATATGTCAGGATACTTACAGAAACCTTTAATGTTGCCTATGTGGCATCTGAGGTGGATAAATTCTGCTACTGAGGGGCCAATCTGCCTTAAAAATAATCCTTTAACTTCTTCATTCAATGTTTCAAAACGGTCCCTTTACTTTCTTTGGTAATCAAATCTGGTCACTAAATTTCTTGAGTCTTTTATAACTATCCATTAAATGCTCGTAAAACTTACAGTAGACTGTAACCGGCAAAACTAACTAGAATTAAAAAAAAACATAAAAGAAAACAAATGAAATGATACCCAATCATTGTCACCTTGCATTACCGTACTAACATTATTCAAGAAGATTAATTCTAAATTTTAACAAAAATAACCACAATTAAGACCAACATGTTATAAGCTACTCCATAATAGCTAGCTTTTGGGTCCCATTTAATTTGTATCAGTGCTAGTGGTTCATGGTTCTAGAAAAGGCTAACTATGGAAGGTTCTAACATGCAAGAAAGCCCGGTTAGACATCCCCAAGTGTAGCTATTGAGATGTTGGACCTCCAACGGCAGCCAATTAATAGAGAACAGGGCTGCATGAGCTGCTCTGTGGAGTACTTAAGTGGTTAATTCTCCACCCCCAATTTTGAAACGTTAAAGAGTTCTCTTTTTTTTTTCCCTTTGGAATGAAACTAAAGAGAGCTGTTGATGGATCGTTTTCTAACACTAACGAAAGTTAAAGGGCCATTTAAAAGGGGAAAAATAAGGGATCATTTTGGAAGCAAATGGGAAGCCTAACAAAAGCATTCATCCACCTTGTATGTCACATAGGCAAGGTTTATGGCATCCAACAAGAAGCCTAAGAGATGCAGCAAAAAGAATGAATGTAGCATAAATTGAAAGTTGAGGACTAATTTGAAACCAAAAAAAAAAAAAAAAAAGCTAAGGCATTAAATAAACAAGTCAAAGTATCAAAATGCTGTCTAAGCCAGCATCCTTGCTAATTAAATATCGTCATGGGTACTTTAAGAATGACTGCCAGCCAATTAAGAAGAAGAATTTCAAAAAAGCTTCGAAGGTATCAGTAATATGGAAAGTATCATAAACAGAAGCACATTTGGTCCATAAATAGCCAAATAACTTGTCCTGCTCACAACTGTTTATATGATTTCTAGTAAATCACACCTCTCTACCCGAAGAGATGCATAAATTGCAGATTCAGTTCCTCCTTATACAAACCCCTCTGAAGCTAAAATCTGACAAAACACCTCAAATAATATTATTCTCTTTTACTGAAAATATAACATTAAAAAATTAATTTTTAAACTTTAATGTTGTTATCTTGTGTTTAAAACATTAAATTTTATCTTTTGAATTCTAACACAACTATTTTTTTATTGGTTAAATACAAACAAAATAATTCTCACATTAAATAAATAAGAGATATAAAGGTATTTTGGTCAAAATAGTTGTAATACTAGCTCATCTTCTATAAAAAGATATGTCAGTGCTTTTTTTTTTTTTTCTAATTTCAAGGGAGGAGTGTAGATTTTCAGAACAGAGAGCAGGGTCATGTAATTGGATCACCTACCAAAATAGGAGAGTGTAGTTTACTTCATAGTTTAATAAAATATAAAGCAGCCAATATAGAAGCATTGAATGGTCATAATAAAATTACCATTGCAAATTCCACAAAAGCAATTCGGGTTGAATGAGCATGATCTCCTAATAGCCTCAAGCGGGTAACCTATGATGATAATTAAAAAAGTGTAAGCTTACATCTCAGATAACTGTTTTTAAGCTAATTGCATAAGATGTTGGGCCGGACTGACCTCACCACAAGCTGTTTCAAAAAAGTTCTTCACTTCAGCTTGAGAAATCTACAAGATAATTGAGGTCAGAGTTGATTTAAAAAAGCCACAGAAAAATCAACTTCAATTATCATGCAATATATGCAAAACACAGGTGCATTATATTATCACCGGCAGCCCAAGTGGTTCCCAATCTTGATTGCGATTGTCAAATACTTTCTGAACCCCCACTGTTTTGAAAGGTCTTTCTAGAGGCAGATCTTATAGGGACAATGGACCATTGTCATCTTTAAATCTCATCCAGTAAGTCCATTTTAATCTTGCATGTTCATTTCGAAAACCCACACACACACACACACATCATGGCAAACACAGTTTACAGGAAAATCAATGAATGGAACCAGTTCGTCAAGTCAACAAAGTATAAGAGTAATGATATACCTTTTTATCAATATTTGTACAATAGACAGTCCTGCTACACATTTCCCGCTCATCCTCAGACTGCATTTATTAAAAATAAAGGAAATAGATGCTTTTTAATAGAATAGTTAGCTCTAGATTCGTAACTTAAACTTAACCAACAAATTCATAAGACATGAACAAAGGAGCACAACAAGTTTGCCTTTTTAGAAAGAGAACAGAGACAACAAATGAAGGGAGACAAAAATTGTGTGGAAAGGACGTAAGTCAAGCAATAAAAGAAAAGGAAATGGGTTAGCATTTCACTTTTAGAAACATTTCTCTGCGATGCTGACCATCTGTGGGCATAAAACCACAGAAACAGCCATTCTCTAAACACCAAAGATAAGTCAATGGACTTCTATCTTTTATTTTTTTAAGGAAAAAAAAAAGGCTACCTGATGCCTGAATTAATACTACTTTGAAAATGATCGGTATTCCTTTCAGTCCAAATATAGAATCTATAAAAAGGACCAGAGATTTGTCCATACCCTAGGGAGGAAAGTAGGATTCACAGGAAGGATAGCAGTTTTGGAAGGAAGGACCCTAACTGGATAGTACCCAAGCACAGTGCCACCAAGGTTTAAAGCTGCTCTTGCACCTTCTGTTGACACAGTCCAAGATAAATGCATGAGATAGATTTAAAACATAATGGTCCCTTTGTGCATGCCTGTCCATATGTCTATTTGAGGAACAGGAGGAGACAACTGGTTTTGCAAGCAAAATGCTTACGCTCATCTGCGAACTCCACAAATGCAAAACGAAGAACTGAATGAGGATCACCACAAATTCGGCAGTCAATAACCTTCAACCAAGAAGAAAAGCTTGACGTGAGATTTCCAAATTAATGAAATCATTAAAAAGGTAAACTATCTTTGAGATTTAAATCTCATCTATTAAAAAATATGGAAGATAATAATTAACAACAAAAATGCATTGCATGAGTTTTCAAAAGTACTAATAAGTGACTACCAATACAACTATTAGTGGACATATTCTGTGCGTAAAACAAAGGCCCGCTCACAATTAAATGAAATGTTAATTAAAAAAAGATCGGGTGACACTCATTATAGGGGAAATATGAACCCATTTCACAAATGAACAAATTGTATTCTACACAACCAAGTTACGCAGACTTTACAGCGCAAACCCAAAAGGTAATTCTTGGCTGATTCAAGGAGATAATGAGAGGAATAAGGGCAACAGAAGCATTAGAATAAGCAGATGCACATTTTGTTTCTAAACAAGAAAAAGATGAGAGGTTTCTAGCAAATATCAATAAAACGCACATGCACAAAATTCAAGTGGGTGGACATTAATAGCATATACAAATGATTAAATGATACAGTTACATTTTCATTTCCACATGCTTGTTTTACTTGATAAACTTGTGCATTAAAAAGCTAATGCAAAAACCAGTTCACAATGTGATGGTATTTAGTTGAAGAAAGGAGGGGGGGGAGGGTGGGAGAGATAATGAGAACAGAGAAGCAATCTGAATAGTGCAATTTTTATTGAAATTGAAATTCAAAAATCAGGTGTTCTACGGCCTTCTTATTTGTAGGCATTCTCTAGATATCATATCCTATCCAAATCCTAGTAATATAATTAAATCCTATCTAAGTCTATCTAAAATCCAACTAACATTTAAATCCTAACTAATGAATCTAACGAAATCTTTTCTCATTTATAATTACATAACACACTAGCACTATAAAGAAGGTTCAAAAAACTTAACATCAACTCAGGTTTAGGAAATTTCAATAAGGAATACCAGCATTCAACTTGGCCAACTCGTGTATTTAAGAACAAGCAATTAGTGAAACAAGAAAAGCATGTTATGTTCAGCTTAGCTGAATAAATATCTAAGGCACTAGCACTAATTGTGCATGTAATAAAGAGAAAATATCATTTCAAGTAATTAAAAATGTTTCGTTAATGCAGCCAACTGCATTAAAATTGATAAAATGCCAAAACTCCACAAAATAAAGCATCAGAATAGGAAGACGTCAGTGAAGCTTAGCACATGGAACACAAAGAAAAGAAAATTTCCCTCAGGGACATTTGAATAGCATTCTAAAAGGGTGTAGAATAAGGCAATAAACCCATAAGATACAAGCAGGGTGAATGAAACGGAGGAAGGCATCAAGAGTTCTTTGTGATGCAAGGCTCTTATTAAGCTTAAAGAGAAGTTTTAACAAACAGCTATATGACCAATGATGTTACATGGCAGTGAATATTGGGCATTGAAACAGCAACATGAGCATAAAATGAGGGTAGCAGATATGGAGATATTGAGATAGATATGTGGTCATATAAGAAAAGACAAGGTCCATAGTGAACATATAAGAAAACAAGTTGACATGGCATCTACTAAGAAGAAAATGGTAGAAAATTATTTAAGATGGTTTGGTCATGTGCAAAGATGCCATCGGATGTGCCAACAAGAACTGATCATATAGTTTTAGCCCAATGAAGACAAGTACAAAATGACTAAGAAGGACACTTTAGAAAGTCATCAACCGAGATCTCCTGATTAATGGTCTATCAAAAAAGTTGGTTTCAAATAAAACACTATGGCATCATGCAATCCATATAAGTAAGCCCATTCAATGAGATAAGGGTGCAATTTTTGTCGTTGTTGTTGAAAGCAAGAAAACCATAGAAATGATAGGGAAAAAACTATAGCAAAACAGTATAAGTTCCCATTGCCACAAGACAACAGTAATAAACACGATGATAACTTCAAGTATTTAATTATCTAGATCGATTCTGAAAGATGAGTCAGAAAGATAATGACTAACAAAGTCACTAGGTGACACTCGTAACTTACTTGTCCACACGTACAAAATAAGGCAGCAAGCCGCTCCTCAGTAACCTATATCAAGAAAAGAGACTGTTCAAATAATACAATTTTTCTATCATCAGAATAAATGCAGGGAATGCTATATGATTCATAAAATAAGTTAATTCTTCCACTATTGCTTACATGCTGATCTATATCAGAAACATATACTGTCCTTCTAATGCTATCTTCTCTCTGACCCTTATGCACTCTTCCATTGGACCTTCTCCTCCCCTGGCTATAATTAGTTCTTCTCTGCAAGATGATCAAAGCATAAAATTTCAGTGTGTTTCACAGATCAGGATTAACTTCCACATGAAAAATCATCTCAATCGTATCCATCGCCATAATCTTTACAGAAGAAAATGTAGTATTTCTATAAATAACAAAAATATACTTACATTGCTTGGTAAGTGCTATACAAACATCTCACAATCAATTTTGCAATAAACAGAAAAATGACATAATAACATATCATGATAGAAGGTGCAATTAGCTGTATCCAACCTCAAAACATATAGCATAATTTAAAGGAGACACATTGAAGGAAAATTTAAGTTAGCTCATGAAAACAAATAACTGCAAATGAATCACATAAGAAACTATAATATATGACACGGAGAAGGAAATACCCAAATTCCACTCAAAGAAACGCATGACAATAGACTGCAGAGATTCTTTTCAATTCAAGCTACTTTTCAATTTCATAATCAAAGTGCATTTTACAAACACCAAGTTACGGAATCTACAAACAAAAAAGTAAAGAACTTTCACTATATTTTGCTACATGGTACATATCAAGTATTCCCATTAATAATCGCTTAAAACCCTTCAATCAAAATAGCGTAAATAATAATTAAACAAAAAATACAAAATACAAAAGTCTAACGCAATGAGAGATCGAAGAAAAATGACAATACCCTTCGATTATTTTGGTGATCACTATCAGCTGCCGTACCCAGAAAATTGGTCGGTGGGAGCTGATGATAGCCCTGATGGAGATGATCATGGTGAGAATAACTTGAAGGGATGAACTCCTTCGCCAAAGGATTCAACTTAGTGAACATATCCACCAGCTTTTGCACATTGAATTCGGATTCGGACTTTGACTTTGAGTCCAACTTGTTCGCAGCTGCTGCGTCGACGGAAATCTCAGCAACCGCAGCCATAATTTAAAGCTCCAGAAGCCGCAACAACAATTCAAGCTCGAAGAAGATAACTTCAAAACAAGAATTCGATAAATTTAACAGCTTTTTTTTTTTTTATCTTTTTAACCTTCCCATAAAGAATTTCTAAAATTTTCACGAAGAAAACGAAAATTGTGCTCAGATGACTAGAAAAACCTCATTAATAGAAGCTCAAATGAAGCGAAATTCCATAGCCCAGATGAGGAAAGAGGATTAGGGTTTTGGAATGAATAATCAGACAAGGAAAGACGAAGAGTTAAGGGTGTGGAGTTGAGGAAAGAGAAAGAAGGTGAAACAATGGGAGCGGTGTTTGGAACTGCGAACACTTTGTTTGGGCTTTGCTCGGCTATTGCGGCTTTGATCGCAGTCTTCCACCCGAAGAGACGTCAAAATTGGGAAGTTTAGCCGCATAGAATATCTATCATTTTAATTTAATTTCTTTCATAATTTTAATTACATTTTTTATTTTTGTAAAAACTGAAAAAGTCATTAAATAGGGCGAATTCTGGTCAACAAAAAATAAATAGGGCAAATTAAAGTATTAAATATCTGTTTATCTAAATTAATTCACTTCCTACAGCCTAAGATATTCAATAAAACTCAAAAAGTCAACTTTCATAAAATGATGAATACTTTAGTAATTTGATATTATAAAATACTTTTAATCAAATTATATTTTTAATAAATTATTTAATTATCTTTAAAATTATATACTTTTTCCATATATATGTTTATTTAATAAGGTATTTTAATTAAAAATTTATTAATTGCACCTTAAAAAAACCTAAAATATCTTATATATTTTTAATAAATTAAGCATGTGTTTGATTTTTAGTTTATATTTGGTAAAAGCATGTTTACAGGATTCAATTATTTGTTAAATTTGACAAAAGCACACTCTAAATATAATTTAAATGCACTTTTAACAGTTGCCAAACGGCTCTAAGCATGTGTAACCAATGAATGAGGTTGTGTTTATACTCCCTCAAACTCACATGAGGCATTTTTTATAAGTCTTACTTAATCTCGAACATAGAACATTTGATACTTCTCATTCTTATAATTTTTTTCCAATTTTACTCTTATTTTATTTATTATTTTTTTGAAAAGATGATCCATTAGAATTTCAATTGTCATAATTAAGACACTAATAAAAGGTATTTAATAAATATATACATAGAAAATATATAACTTTTTAAGAGATTAAGATTTCATCTTTTAATTAACTTTTTATGAAAATCATAAAGCAACTATCAAAGCCTTGTATAGGGCTTGTTTGTTTAAAATTAAAAAAAATAAATTATTTTTTGATAGTTTAGAAATTTTATAAGAAAATATTTATTTTGTAAAAATTTTATTAAAAGCAGACATTATTTTAATGTCTGGTTATAATAATAAAAAAAATGATTCTTCATTAGTTATTTTTAAATTTTATGATATCTTCCTTAATTTTTATTTTATAAAAATAATTTATTATTATATTATTTTAGAATTTTATGATATCTTGATGTATATTGCCTTATTTTTTTAGGATTTTGATTATTTTTAAAAATTTAAACAAACATCATAGAAACTCACAAAATAAATTTAAAAAATTAATTTTTTTTCATGAAATAAGCTAAAACAAATAAGCCATATGAAGAATTGGATAAATCACAATGAAGAAGCACGTGAAGGCTACTTGTGAAAAAAAATTATGAATAATTAATTTTTTTATATCATAATTGATTTAGGACCCATTTGTTTAGGATTAAAAATAAGCAGCTTTTATATAGTTTAGAAATTTTACAAAAAGTGATTTATTTTATAGAGATTTTGAAAAAATGAAAAAAATATTTAGTTCTTAATTACGACCATAAAAAATCACTTGAACTTACATCCAATTATACAATCATAGAACGATATCATCAATCATAGTAGAGAGTAAGGAAGAGAAGTTTGGATAAATGTTTATCCTAATTTATCTCTAACTACTTGAGCTTATGTTAAATCCCCAACTACCACTTAAAATTTTCTCCACTAATTTCACCAAAATTATTTTGGACTCTTAGTGGCCTCAATGCAATCCCAGACTCACACTAGAGTCTGAATTACCTTTCCTTATAAAAGTAATGATATATCCCTCTTAAACTCCTGAGATACTTTGTTTTGATAAAAAAAATTGAGACGAACAAAGTAGATTTAATAATGCACTATTCTTGTTTCCCCAATATTTTTAACTCTAATTTTTAAGTACATACAACAACTGTTTAATAATGAACTATTCTCATTGTTGTTTTATAATATATTACTAAATAATATTGGGATTACAATAAGGGCTTTTGTTTTGAGGAGATTTTTAGGTAGGGTTGATCCTTGTTTGCATTATTTGTTTTAGTTGGTAGAGTTTAGTATTGGTTAATGATGAAAGTCATTATATGCACACAAAAATGCCAACAACTCAATATACATAGTCAAGGGTGAGCGGAATGAAACCAAAATTAAAAATTGAACCTAATCAAATCAAGTTTAATCTCTTTGATTCAATCTATTTGGTTATTTGGTTCAATTTAGTTTTTCATTTTAGAAAAATTTAGTTGATCATTTCAATTCAATTTGCATATTTTAAAAAGGGTAAAGGTGTAAATTTAGCCACAAACTATTTTTTCAAGAACATTTGGTAGCCTAAACTATCAGATAATGCAAAATAAATTATGAATTTTCAAAATTGAGAGGAAGGTGTTGAATGGTCTGTTTTTTTTATAGTAGAGGCTACTTAGCACTTCTCATAAAATAATTTATAGCTAAATTTATACATTTATCATGCTGATGTATCATGCCACACGTCATTGTGAGGACTACATAATGTCTGTTAGTTGAAGTTAACAGCAGGCCACTGGATGTTCCATTTTTAAAAGTTTGTGATTTATTTTGCACCATCTAATAGTTTAGGCTACTAGATGCTCCTGAAAAAATAATTTGTGACTAAATTTGCTACTTTATCATTTTAAAATCGAATAGATTAAACCAACTGAATTATCGTACACACACATGATAACTTATAAATTATATATAGTTTATTACTTTATTTTATTTTATTTTATTTTCTTACACTTCAAAAAATGCATATATAAACAATTTACATGTATGAAATCCTAAAAAGGTGAATGATTCATATAGTCTTTTCTAAATTATGCTTGTCATGTATTTTCATATTGTTTTCCCATGTAATTTGTTTATATATATATATATATATATAATATTTGACTTTATCAATTCGAGAAGACAGGCCAAAGTTCATAATGGCAAAGGAGTCCGATCTAAGGTCTATGTTGACCGAATCTCATTTTTATGGATATAGATGCCTTCATTAGTTTTTTTTTATCAAAAAATATGATGGATAAAAAAAATCGTAACATAGGTTTAGGAAGCCCAATGTAATGCCCAAAACCAAATTAATTAACCAAATTGAATCATTACAATTTGGTGCGATCATAGTTTGGCTCATCGACTAATTCAATTCGATTCAATTCAAAATTTAACTATTACTTGGTTGATTAGTTTTGTACATTTGACATGATGCCAAACCGACTAATGCTCATATTTACATATAGTTTCATGCTTGTGGAAATCTTAAATAAATCCCCAATTGGCACTGTATTATATTACAAAATTAAATTATCATATTCATCAATGGGGTTGAGTTTAGTGGAATGGATTAGTCCTTCATAACATGGTGAATGTTCAAATTTTTATTGAAAGTACTCACATTTAGTGCTATACTATACCTCCAATAAAAGAATACTAGTGATTAATAAAAAAAAATTAAATCATCAAATTCTCAATGCTCAAGATATCATTTAAACACATGTTAGGTCCTACAAAGTCAAATAAAGTAAAACATTATATATCAATGCACAGATTTTAATAAAACCTCACTTCATATAAAGTTGCCAAATCATTTTAAACATTATTTTCCTACAAAATATTAGTCACAACTTGTATAAACACACCACACAAGTATAAAGAAAGAATTAGTTTTCAATTATTTCAACTATCGGTTTATTTACCCTTAGTTCAAGCATGCAATTGAGCCTCCTCTTTGCTTAAAAGCACCAATAATAAATCCATCTACATTCGAACACATTCATCATTGTCAATAACTAATTTTTAAAAAAAAAATTCCTTATTAACTCTAGCACCAATTGTCCTAAAAGTAACATTTTCATCAACGTTTTTATAATTGAATTGAATATTGAATCAGAAATGTTAGTAATTTAACTGAATTGGATCAATAGTCAAATCGGCGATCTAATAATTAAATTAAAAAAATTATACATGTATATAATAATCTACATATAAGAAATAAATATGAAATTACTATTTAATTTAAAAATAAAATTAAATATTTTAAGTTTATTATGATTTAACAAATCACATGGCATAATATAATATCAAATGATTAAAGAAGTTGATCATTTTGTAAGAAAAATTGATAAAAAAATATTTTTTGAACAGTTTGGTTTTAAAAAACCAAATCCGGTTTATGATTTGATCATTAGTCTAAAACGATCCAACCTGGTTCAACTCCTGAAATGATTTTTTCATGTTAACCGGTCTGACCATTATGTTCAATTTTTAAATTATTAATTTTCATGTCATTGTTTGCACAATACATTGTGTTTGAGCATTGCACGAAAATATAAATAGAAATTAAATATATTTTCATAATTGCATGCTCAAATCTAGTATATGTTAAGTTATAATCTATCTTTTCATGACTTTCTCTTATACACTACCTCGACTCATGAGGTATAATATTGAAATTGATGTGAATTAAATCAGCACCCAATGCCATTTTTAAAAACTAGTATGTATATTCAAAAATGTAACGCCTTACCCATGATTAGGGTTTAAAGGGGAAAAATAAATTTTATAAAATTTAAGCATTTTATAAAATGCTACATCCTCCTATATACAGTGTCAATGATAAAACCAAATTTTAACAAACTAGATGTGTCTTTCATGCATTTTATAAAATGTGAGCTATAGATTACATTATATTTGTGATTTGGCTCTAATATTATGGATTTGATATCAATAGCTGTGATTTTTTTAATTTTAAATGAGATTTTTATGCTTGTATATGAATTTAATTGATAGTTTTTAAATGTATATTATTTAAAATATATTAATTTATTATTCATCGACTTGACTTTAATATGATTGTTAAATGATAAATTGGTATCTGGATTGGTTTGATGACTAGTCCTACTTTTAAAAACTATGATAAATGGATAGGAAAACTATAACAATGATGGATTTTAGGATTTTACTTAATTTACTTATTATAATAAATTAATTTTACATAAAATAAAAATAAAAACCCAGAATTAAAGAAATGGGTCAATGAAAATCCTAGTAGTGGAGAGCGCAAGAAAAGGGGGTGCGATGGCGGATCAACCAAGGACTGCCACTGGCTTTGATGGTTCCATGCATCAGCTTGTCCCCACGTGGCTGAATTTCCGAGGTTCGTATTTTGAACTCTTTTTCCCATAATACCCTCTCTGAAAATTCGTTTTCTTTTTTCCTCTTGAAAATCCCTACCTGAAAATTCTATTCCAATTAAATAAAAAAAAAAATATAATTCCTCTAAATTATATATATAAGAATTTAATATCTTGAAATATTATAATTTTATTAAATTTTTTAAGGTTTTTTTGTTAATAATTTTAAATTAAAAAATTATTTTATCCTGATTGATAAATTATGATTTTTTGTTCAATTCTTGTTATTTTTAAAAAAAAATTATAATTTTTTAAATAAAAATTGTAAATGAAATTTATTATTTGAGAATTTATTTTTCAATAATATAAATTATACTTAATAAATTGTAATTTTTTATTTAACTCTTGTAATTCACAAAATAAAATTTGTTATTATTTAAACAAAAATTTTGATTAAGGTTTGATTTTTAATAACAGAAATTATAATTGATAAGTTAAGATTTATGTTCAACTCTTGCGATTTACAAAATAAAATTTACTATTTCTTAAATAAAAGTTGTACTCGGAGTTTGTTATTTTTAATAAGAGTAAAATAGTCTTTTCACTTTAAAATTTATTGTTACAGAAGTCTCTAAAATTTATTAAAATTATGATATTTTGAGGAATTATATTCTTATTTATATAATTTAGAAGATTTTGTTATCCTTTTTTCCAATTAAATGCTCCATATAATATATCTTTTAAATTACTTTTTACTTATTATTTATAAAATTTCTTAAGCATTTGTTAGCTAGAGTTTAACACAGATTGACCGCCAGCTTGTGTCCTAAATAGGCTAATAGCATTAATTGAAAAAATAATTAATATGACCTTATAAAAATAATTGTTATGACATTTTTGGGCAAAAAATAACGTGACATTTTAACAGTACACATTTTTTTAAATTTATTTAATAATTAATAATTAATAATTACTCCTTTCACTAAAAAATAAAGCATTTTTAATCAAATTTTATCTTCTAATAAAATAATTACTTATATTTAAATTAATCATATCTTTTCACATTTATTCTCATTTAATAGGGTGTTTCACCTTAAAAATATAAAGCAATATATTTAATAGGTGTACTTTAAAAAAAAGATAATGATTACACTTTGAAAGATTAAAAATGCCTTATATTTTTAAATATTTAATTTTTAAAAAAATCTTATATTTTTTAAACAGAGAGAGTATACATATGCTGCCTCTGTCCAAAAATATAAGTTATTTTTAATCTAATCACACCCCTCAATAAAATAATTAATTATCTTCAAACTAACATAATTTTTTTATATTTATTTTTATTTAATAAAGTGTTTTATTTTAAATTTTAAAATAAATATAAAGTAATTTATTTATTAGAGATACTTTTAATAAAAAAACATTAATTATATTTTAAAATATTAAAAATATTTTATATTTTTTAACTTTAAATTTTTAAAAAATCTCTTATATTTTTACACGAGGCAGGACATCCGAATTTATAGGCACATAGTTGTTGAGATTGTGAAGGGGTAAACGCAGGATACTTGGCGATGATATTAAGGAAATATATGTAATTTAATGTAATGGTAGGGGTATTTATGGCAATTGACCTTAACGGAGCAGCACTGGGAGCGCGAAGTGGCTGAGCGAGCACCGATTTTGCCTTTTCAACTTACCGGCCTTCTCATTCTGTATCTCCTCTGTCGTCTCAATCACTTCTCTCGATCACTTTTCGTTCTTTTCATCCATGGCTATATCTTTTGCGCCAATTTCCATTTCAGGTAGTTTGTCGTTTGTTCTTTGAATCTGAGGCGATTTCTCTAGTTTATTTCCTATTGCTTCACACTGTTTCTTAGAATAAACAGATTTGGATGGAAGTGGCGCAGAGAGAATTGTTGTTGTTTTCTTTAGCCTTTGCATCTCTGAAATGGTTTTATGAATTGTGGATTTTGTTTTTTTGTTTTGGGTGTCTTTTCCTCGATTCTTGTGATTGTAGAGGGTTACAATCAATGAAGTGAAGGGATTCCGATTGTAACGTTGAAGATTAGTTTTTGGACTGCCGGAGGAAACATAATAGATGTGATTTTGTTATATAGATTTTTTTTTTTTGGGTCTTATAAGGTTGTTGCGTTGGTTTGCAAATAGGTGGATGCCATCTTAAGCCGCGCGAGCTTTGGTTAACAAATCCTAATTCTCTTAGGGTTTCGCCTAAGCTTTCTGTTCAAAGGAAATCCAACCTCGTGAAAAGTAACCGCAGCTCAACTATTCGTGCAGAATATCGGTATGCTGTTTTTGTATCACTTTAGTTTTGCCTTTGTTTTCTAATCTTTTCCCAGATATATGGGTATTATCGTTTTATTTGCTATGCTTGCTTGTACTCAGCAGGTATTTGATCCATGCCTTTACTGTCAGCAAAACTTGTGGGGGTTGATGTAATATTTTCCCCTTACCAAACTGCGTAACTTCCCTGGAAAAATATTTGTTTTAATATTTCTTGTCATTGGAAAAGGTGAATTACCTTAGCTTCTGGGCACTGGCATCATTAAAAAGGGAATCTGTTATCCAGAAAAAGAAAGAACATGCAATATCTTATTCTGTCTCATTGCATCGGAGATGTTACGAGAATTATTGTTGTTAAGAAGATAAACGGCTCTGTTAGTAAATGCTAGAAAAAGTGTTTGTGACTTTTAATGTTTCTAGGTTCTTTCTGGCTTATGAATGCTGACTTTGTGATGTGTCCTTAGTTAATTCTTGAGCTTCCAAGACTGATATGTGAGAAGCTAGGCCTTAAATGATGCAGTGCCTTAAGTCTTCCATCTCTTACGTATGCTAGTTAGGATTAATTTCAAAGTTTGATGTGACGTTTTGAAGCATAGATACTTCAAAGGAGTTATATCCATGTTCAACACTAGTGAGAGATTCATAGATGAGTTGATGAACACTTCAAGTTACATACAGATGATTCAGATCTTAGTGCTGCAGTATCTATGTCATTTTTCTGTGTCTATGCTTACAAGATTTAAGGCTGTCCCATGTCAAAAACTTAGCAAGATTAGCTGTTAGTGTTGAGCTTTGAGAAAGATTTGAGTTTGGAATTGAGCTGGATTGCAAGACAATTGAAGGTGCAATTGAGGAGGGTGTTTTATAAGTATGGGCATGAAACCAAATTAATAGGGCTAGTTTTCGCCTTATGAGGGAATCTGTGGTCTGTCTTCATCTCGAATTTGAGTGTTCTCGTCTTGCATGCATTTCATAATTCTGGTCAGTCATTTTTTAATGTTTGTCTGCTTTGATGCTATCGTCGTTGAGTCAATCAATTCATTTCAACCTAAATATTCTACAAGTATTTTGAATTAGTTATCTTATGATGAGAAAGATTCTACTATATTGGTTTCTTTTCTATGGCATGCTTATCAGATAACAAGGAAGCTCAATAATTCAACAGTAATATGACTTAGTTCTCAGATCCCCTGGTCTTTCTTGGTCTTATTTCTGAATCCTAAATATGAAATTTAAGACATCTCTACTTTTTTATTGTTCTTATGAAAGTCAGGCCATTTTTGTCCACTAAATTTTTTCATTCCCATCCTTTTATTGAGTATATATTTGGATGGAGGGACATATATTTGAGCCTTGTTTTTAGAAATTCTGACTAAGTTACATATATTTGCCAAACAAAACTTGGCAACACTACAGCCATATTGCTCCACCAATAAGCATGATTGGACTACTTTGTACATTTTGATGTTCAGGACTTTCTCAGAGTTGGTAGGGACAAACTCATGGGCTGTTAAGGTGCTGTCACAATACTTACAAAAGTATTGCACAGTGTAAATTTCCTGGACAATTCTAGTTAAAACAACATATTTGGATTTTGGAAGAGGAATTAAAAGTTATCTGATGAAAACCAGCACAAACACCCTTAAAGTTGGGATAAATTTCTTCAGAGGTGGGCAAGAAGAAAAATGACCTTGGCTTCTAACTTATAGCTCCATAGCAATCACTATATGATTTAATGTCCCAACAAATTAGATAAAGTAGACTCATAAAATAATTAAACAATTGGTATATCAATATCGATGCATATATAATAAAATCTACACAAGCCGCACTATTCAAAAATCATAATAACCTTGGTTTATTCTTTAGACTCCATGCAATGCATGGAAAAAGTGTTTAGTTGTAACGATGAAGCATGACAGTGTATTCTAATATGTAGTTTTACCATACAATTGGACCGTAGTGCTATGTCTATATGGAAATGAGGATTGTGACTTCATGTTAAGACTAAAACCTTTCGCTATGATGCCAATTTTAATTGCAACCATTCACGATGGTAATTAATAAAACGTCAAATTATGATTGCATTTCATTCCATTAAACAGAAATAGAGATATCACTTCTAATTAATTTCCAAAATAGATTGAACATTAATGTGTGCAACCATTCACGACGGTAATTAATAAAACGTCAAATTATGATTGCATTTCATTCCATTAAACAGAAATAGAGATATCACTTCTAATTAATTTCCAAAATAGATTGAACATTAATGTGTGCTTACATGACCTGAGTAAATCAATGGTATTACAATGGTGCCTGCTACACTTTGTTTCTCAATTTCTTATATTAAATGTGTGAACATAATTCAGATGTTATACTAGTGCCTATTGCTTTGATGTAAGCCTGCACACAGGACTTGATCCTATTGGTTTTGTGTGTGGAGATTGTGTGTATTTACAGTTCTTTTTACATTTTTGTCTTCTAATTGCAGTGATGGTGGAAGTGGAGGTGGGGATTTCGTTGCTGGTTTTCTTTTGGGAGGTGCGATTTTTGGAACACTAGCTTACATCTTTGCTCCCCAGGTGAATGCTTTTGTTCCTCATAGTGTTAATTTATTAATGCTCGATAGTTAATATATCTTGATAGTTTATAAGCTGAAATACAATGTATTATCATTGACCTTTGTTGTCTATATATCTATCCATATATATATATATATATATATGAAATATAAATTACTCTTCTAGTTCTATTTATAGGGCAAAAAGAGAATTTTTTTTTTCTTATTTATAAGTTACTTCATTAAATTTTTTCCGCAAATTTTCCCTTCATTGAATGTTGGAAAGAAAAATATATTTTTGATATATGTATATTTAAGGGTTAAGGTTCATTTTTGTCCCTTAACTTTACGAAAAGAGTCATTAGAGACCTTAAACTCAACTATGGGTTAATTATTTCCCTCAACATTAAAAATTCCCTCCTTCATTGCCCTAATGTTGAAAACACTTAACATCCATTAGTCATCAGTGGGTCTAGATATTTTTTAATATTTTTTATTGGATTAAGGGTCATTTTTGCCTCTCAACTTTTATTCGAAGGGTCAATGGATACCCTCAACTCAAATATTTTATGATAAAAAATATTAAAAAAGGTAATGTGGAGCCTACTAACACTCGACTAACTATGAGAAAACGGTAAGGTGATGAGGGAGAGAATATTTAAAGTTGAGGGATAGAGTTGACTTATAGTTGAGTTTAGAGCCCCCAATGACATTTCAAGTAAAGTTAAGGGGCAAAAATAATACTTGACCATATATTTAATAGGGGCAAATTTGAGAGCTTCTTAAATTTAAGATAGAGTTAATGAGTTTTAAAGTTTTTCTTGGTTCTAGTGAAACATGTTAAGAGTGACTTATTAATAGGATTAGAGGAGTATATAAGAAGTGAACGCTATCCATAAGTTATGAGTAGTGTGGCTTGTCTTAGACTTTATGCAAAGGATGGGACCCACATCCTATTTGTTAAAATTTAAGAAGAGATGTGAAAGGAAGGGTAGGGTTGACCATGTAGATTCTTTATCAAACAAAAAAATTTGATATTCTTTGTAATGAATGACGATAAAATATCTCACTTTTTATTTATATTTTTCAATTAAAACCAAAAGTTAAAATTATAGGTTGCATGAAAGTTTATCTAATTAAATATTTTTATATTTTAAATAATTAACTACCATTTTATTAACTTTTATTTTCAAAATATAAAAATAACAATTAGTTTTAAAATCTGTCTCAAAAAAATGTTATTTTTTCTGAGATTGGGTGTTAAAAAATATAAAGTATTTTTAATTTTTTTAGTGTGTAATTAATGAGTTTTTTTAAGAAATAACCTTAATAAATAAACTACTCAACCTTTCACATTTAAGTGGGATACCCTATTAAATAAAGGCAAGCACGAAAAGATGGTGTTTGTTTAAAGATAATTAACTAACTTATTATTAATGTAATTCGGTTAAAAATGCCTTTGTTTTTGAGCGGGGGAGTATTAGTTAAGATTATAAATTATTTATTTTATTTTAGATGAAAAGTAGTAGGCAGTTTTTAAATTCTAACTAATTATTCAGTTAGTATAAAAAGCTTCCAAAATCTATTTATGAGTTGCTGTAGTTTTTTTTTTATAGCTTTCATTTTTTCCCCGCAAAACGTGGTGTTTCTGGGTTGAGACAACAAGTTGGCCATTATCTGGCAATATGTTCAAAGGACTGACCTTGCTCCATTAGGAGAGGGTTGTAATTAATGAAGTTGGCTGTTATATTAATTCTTGTGCATATGCTCAGGGGTTGGGTTGATGTCTAGATTTTCCCCACTTTTTGATTTTTTTTTCTTTTTTGTGTTTTTTCTTCCATTTTAAAAAATGGAATGTTTTTTAGCTTAATTTTTCCAACTTAAAGTCTGGTGTCATAATTATCTCCTGACTTTTATGTATTTCTCTCTGTGGAACTTTAAGACTGTTGAATGTGCTATTTTATATCATCCCTATGATGGAAGCAGTTAATTTTCTTTTTCAGTTGGCAGTAAAGTCCATCTCTGTATTATCTTTTTTTTTAATTATTTTTATGGAAGAAGTCAATTTTATTGCTGCTCGTGCGTTCTGCATATGCATTATCATCATTTTTAGTAAACGCAAATATTTTTATTAAAATATTATTTGCTTGCAAGATGGTTTTGCTGCTTTCATGTTGAATTCTCCATTTTGGACGCCACAGATTAGAAGATCTCTGCTGAATGAAGATGAATACGGGTTTCGGAAGGCCAAAAGACCGATATACTATGATGAAGGTTTGGAGGTAAGTAGGCTTCCCTTGGCTTTATAATAAATCTCTCATGGTGCTGGAACGTGCAGTGCATTAGCTATAATTGTGTTTTACTATTTCTGGAAAACAGAGGACGAGGCAGACTTTGAATGAAAAGATAAGCCAACTAAATTCTGCCATTGATAATGTGTCTTCACGCTTGAGAGGTGGTGGCAATAATGTGCCTGCGACACCAGTAGAAAATGATCCTGAAGTGGAAGCTACCCTGTGAGGGCTATTCTTATTTGGTTCCTTTCTTTTAACTGGTATCACCAACGCTTGAGTAGTGATTATAAATAATTGATGACCATATCCCTGTTAAAATTGGTTTTGCAACCTTATTTTGCCACATAGTTTTTCTTTTTGAATGTCTGATGTCAAAACACTTAGTGCTGGATACATATGATTATTTTGCCATAATTATTTTGTTGCATGTTTGATGACAAAAGACATAGTGCTGGACTTGCATAAAAGTTCAATCCTCTGAATCTATTGAATGGAATTTATATCTCATGTATTGAGAGTCTATATATATTTATATACAAAATTCAAAAACCCTAACAAGTTGAAGCCGCATTTTTTATTAGTCATAAATAGTGAGTGCGGCTTGTATTTGAATATACATGCAATACACTGGTTATATTCTGGTATGTTGTATTTTTTCCCCCTTTCCACGTGCTTTGTTTTCCTTTTTTTTTTTTTAAATAAAAAGTGCTTTATAAGATAGACGATCTAATTTCTCGTTAGATGATGGGTGAGGGTAAGATGATCCTTTTAGATTGATGATGACGATTTCATAGGTTTGGTGGGCTACACTACTTGGTTGGTTATCAAAGGACCCAAGTGCTGAATTGAATGCTTGCTTCCATTTCTTGTAGGATGGTCCATTTCTATTTTCTTCTATGGACGTCAGGGGTCTGAATTTCATTCTGAGATGGTCAATTCTGACTTTAACAAAAGTTTTCCTGTATAAAACGTAAATATTTTATAATTTCAGGCTTTTCATTTTTGTTTTTTTTTTTGGGGGGGGGGTGATGATCACTAACTTATATTTATTATTTATGGATAGTGTTGTTTGTTTCAAATTTTATATTTTATATTGGTCAGTGATTGATGTACTGATATGTGGATGATGCTTACATCATTAAATCTGCATGACTTTCAATTTGACGATTTAAAATTATTCTTCATTCTCATGGACATTGTTAACCTATTTCCTTTTTACTTTTTGATTATTTTATTTTTTAAATGATTTTTAGCAACCAAACCCAAACAATCCTAAGTGATGGCAATTTCAAAGCATGCCATCTCCAGCCTAAAGATTAGATGGGTTAGCCTTCGATTTGGACAAAAAATGTCGTGATTTCAAGAGCTTGCTTTTTGATGTTTAATGTGGGTTTATGGGCCTGATTTGCATACCCTATGGATATGATCTTAAGGGAATAATTACCACTATGGAAGTATGGTGATGTCGCAAATCAGGAATATGCTAAAATTTAAATGGAATGTAAGATGTCAGTTAGAGAAATTTGGTGGCTGATAGGCTTGTGAAACAAGGACTACAAGGTTCTAAAGCTACATATTCCTCAATTTTTGAGGATCCTGGTTTAGAAAGAAAGTTTCGGATCTGATTCCCACCTGGTTAAGTTTGTGTATTTTTGGGCTTAGGCCCTCCTTTGCACCAAAAAAAAAAATAACAATAATAATTTTATGATAAACTTATAATTTTTTAAAAATATGCATTTATTTTTCTAACATTTAAACCTTAAAATGTGTGAGAACATAGTGTAAAAATAAAGACAAAATAGCATGCTGAAATGTATGAAAAAATGAATACTCAAAAAGGAGTTAAATCGCAAAAGAAGCCTTTTTATTTACGACATTAAGTAGCATGGGTCTCTGTAAATTTATATTTCTTTTTATTTTTTAATGGTTTCCCACACAATCTTGCTCAAGGCAGAGTTGGTTATTAAATGTAGGTATCTTTTATACTTGAGATTTAAATATTGATTTGTCATATTGTGAGAGATTAGTTTTTTCCATTAAGTGCTGTTGATAAATTTTATATTTCTAGTGTGATTGAAGCTTTGATACAAGTGGATAGGATAAATATTTTTGAGAACATAAATATTTTCATGCATGTAAGTTATTGATTCGCTAATTTAAGAAAGAAATCAAATATGTCCACCACCATCATCAATCAATATTAATTCAATCTCATTTTATTATCCAACCTAACAAGTACTCCAATAAAGACATCCCACCAGAGAATGTGTTATTATCCCTTAAATATTATTGAGAGAAAATATCAATTGAGGACCATTAGAGGTATTTTATAATAAGAAATGATCTTAAAATTTTGATTTTTTACTGCTCCCCCTTGGTTCTTAGTTGAAAATAATTTTTATGAGAAATGACTCAATCACCCCTCTTAATGAAAGAGAAACAATTAAGTAAGAATTGATTGTTAACATCCAAACATATTGTTGTCAATTATAAATTGATTATTGTCAAAATTTCAATTGCTTGTTGTTTATGTGGGGTGAACACTTATTTTATTAAATTGATATTGTCAATTTTTCATTCTTGTTAAAGTCTTAATGTATTGTTATCAATTATAAATTGATTGTTGCTAAAACTCGAATAGTTTGTTGTTTATGTCGGGTGAATACTTATTTTATTAAACATGTGTTGTCAATTTTTTAATTTTATTAAATTTCAAATGTATTGTTAATCATGAATTGATTATTTCAAATTCTAATCTTAATGTTCTCTTGTTGAAAATAAATAAATCCTGTGACAATTATATGTTCAAGTTATCGCAACAATTGAACTATATATGCATAAAAGACTGTTATAGAATTGAAATGAAAATTTTATTTAGTATTTCAAAGCTTGTCTCCACCTTGGAAACATGTTATTATACTCTTCATATGTAATTTTTTTTTATCTTCTTTATATTAGTCTATGACTTGTAAATTGCATAATTTTTTAGGCCATAAAAGTTAAAGAGATCAAAGCTAGAATTCTCAAGAATAAAGAAACAAAAGGTTTTATTTCGCTTTAGGACCACAGTAATTTTAAAATGTCAATCATATCAAATATATTGATTCTTTATTGAAAATCTGAAAATTTTAAAAATGAATAGACAAAAATTCTAAAAATAGGTGGATCCTTCTTATTATTTTCAGGGAAATACGCGTGAAAATCAAACATCAATCACATCTTGATAATAACTTTGACACAATCTGGCTGTTTAAAGAGATCAAAAGCTTTATTTATCTCTGTCAACGGGACTTCATAAGTTAAAAGCTCATCGAGAGGGAAATCCTATAAAAGTAAGATGAAAATAATTTATAATTGAGTTGGTGATGTTGAAAATTGAAAGTAAAACTGCAAGAAAAAGTATATGTGATCTACTAATTTTTTGTAAAGATTTTTTTTTACCTTGTTTTGGCATTTGGCAGCCACAATAGAAAGGTCAGATTTGGGTTTCAAGCCTCCAAAAACTGAACCCTTCAAAGTTCTTCCAAGAAGAAGACCCAACCAGTTGACTTGCACACATTCTTCTATTCCTGCACCGATTGCTACTGCCTTTCCTCTCCCCTGATATATATATATATATATATATATATAGAGAGGAGAGAGAGAGAGATTATTAATGCAATTTGAAATTAGACAAATAGGAGTATTGTGTTTGCTAGACATATCTGAAGTTTTTATTTAAAATTAGTGGGAATAAATTTTTTATATCTAAATATCTAACAGTTTGCATCCATGAATGTTAAAAAATGTCTTTGCAAAAATTATTCCACTATGCTCAAATCTAAGCTATCTAGATAACCATATCAAAACAAACAAATTAGATATTAAGCTCATACATTACGCAAGTGAGCTGGACCATGTAAAATTTATCAATAATATGTTTTCTTTTTAGGTTGAAAGTATCTTTTTAGTCCTTAAATCTTAATATCGCTAGTTTTAAATCATTATTTTTGTGTTAATTATAGTTATTTTGAAATAAAATTAATATCTTAATATTTGAGAATGCTTTATTAATTTGAAAATTCAATGTAAAAATTTGTCGGGATAAAACTAACAGTGTTAGGGTTGAAGGATTAAAAAGATACTTTATAAAATTAAGGGACTAAAATGAAATGCTGTGTAAAATTAAAAGACTAAATGTATAGTTTAGTCTTTTTTATAAGTTATATATATATATATATATATATATTGATTGATATAGATGATTATGATGATTGACTATTAGGTATTGTAAGCTCACCACTTTGGTGGATTCCAGGGCCTGAGTGACCAAGGGGGCAAAACCAGTGCACTCAATGGCATAATCCACACCAAGTCCACTTGTGAGGTCCTTCACCAATTGAGAAGAAGGCCTATTGGAATGTTCATTAGGATTTATGAAGTCCGTCATCCCAAAAGCTTCTCCTCTTTCTTTCTTCTTCTCATTTATGTCAATCCCAATTATCTTAGTTGCTCCCATCATCTTGGCACCACTTATAGCCTGCATCACAAGTAATTTAATTACCCATTGAAGAACATACTTCATCATGTTCAAATGCACTTATGATTTCTTGTTTTGCCAGAAGACACATACCCCTAATCCAACAGCTCCGAGGCCAAAAACAGCCACAGTCGATCCGCTTCGAACTTGGGCTGTCTTCCAAGAAGCGCCAAAACCAGTAGAAAATCCACAAGAGATGAAGCTAGCATGAGCCAAATCAATACTTGGATCGACTTTGATCAGGTAGTTTGCATCACTAACCATGTACTCACACCATGTTGAGCAGGTAAACAAATGGTATGCCTTTTGGCCTCTAATTGAAATCCTTGATGTGTCATCAGGCATTAATCCACTCACCCTCAGAGGATATCTCATGCACATGTTTGATTCCCCTGAAGCACAATTCTCACATTCTCCACACTCTCCAATGTATACTGGAATCACTACATCTCCTACTTTTAGATCTGTCACTCTCTCTCCTACACTCTCCACAACACTGCATTTTCATGCATGAAAGAGAAAAAAATTTCAAAGGTTAGATTAGATATATATGAAAGTTATCAGTGATGATTCTGTACTTAGAATAATGGGGTGGATTGTAACTAAAGCTTACCCTACTCCTTCATGCCCAAGTGCTAGAGGAAAAGAGGGCTGCAACATCAATTTTAGTCAGTGAAAATTGATTGGTTTCTAAGTAAGGTTGAAAGAATGAAAGTGTGTACAGAAATTAATTGAAGAGGGTCTCACATTAGCATAACCTCGAGCTCTTAAGAAGTCTGTGTGGCAGATACTTGCACAGAGCATCTTAACACGAGCTTCAGAAGCTTTTGGAGGGTCTACTTGTATCTCTTCTAGTTTCACACTCTCTCCTATTCCCCAGCATATTGCTCCTGAAATTTCACCATTCAATAATCAAAATTTAGTTGCATCATCTCAAGAGATTTAATTGATTTACTCACTGTGACAAGAGTCATTACTAAAAAACCTCTTTCAGCAGTTAAAATTGACTTTTTGCCCTAGTTATAGACCTGGTGGAGAAAGTGATAATAACAAATGCAGAATGTTATAAAATGTTAAAAAAAATCGATCTTGATAACCAGTCACAGTAGTCAGATACATCACTATGAGAATATATATATATATATATATATATTAGCAATTCATAAGAGCTTCCCCTAATTAGATGGTGAGACAGAAAAAAATCAGAAGCAATTCGATGTCCTTAACATGAAACAAGAACAACGAAGTTGAAACTGAACGAATTATTATTAAAGTCTGATATGATCATACCTTTGCAAGTTATAGCTTGGGAGCTGCTCGACATAGCATTCAACTTCTCTCTGTGCTGCTCCAAACAACTGCGAGAGGCTTTGGCTTGTGAAATTTGCAATGACGGGAACAGCTCTTATTTATATATAATAATAATAATAATTAATTTTGTTGCATTCTATAAGTAATTGAATAGAATAAAAAGTATGGGAAATTATTGGCATATGTATACAAGTACTCAAAAAATTAATCTATTAAATTTTATTAACAATTGAACTAAGGTTAATATTTAATAGATTTTAAAGTAATTAATTTTTTTATGTGGGATGGGAATGTAATTCTCCCTAAATGCATTGGCCAAAATAATAATAATAATAATAATCTTTGATAAACTTTGGGTGGATCCTCGTGCATAACAGTGTCCTGGGAGGGAGGCTTGCGTTGATGGACCCCCCCGACATGATAAGATGTGCATGAAGGTGAGATGGGTTTGCATATTTATCACATTGATAAAAATAATGAACACCATGATATTTTATCATATGAACTATTTAAAATTAATTGAGGTCAAAAAACTATTTAAAATTAATTTTAATAATTTAAATTTAAAATTTATAAATTTTATATAAAATATTTTTTTCACAGAGTGACATTTAGAAGATTATTTTTATTTTAAATTCTATATATTCATTTAAGTAATAATTTATTAAAAATATAAAGATAAAATTATATTAAATCTAAACCATTAAATTTTAATTTGAACAGTATAGATTGGTGAACTGAAACTGATCCCATATAACCAGACGGATGCAAGTTTCTATATGTCTTTTTTAATATATTTTAAAATTCCACTTTTTTTGACCTTGGAAAAAATTCTATGAATTGAAATTTTTATATTCAGTAGTTGAAAAAATGAATCCATGAGTGGATTTCAAGTAATATATATCTGGAATATTTTATGTGTTAAATATAATTTTCTTTAATTTATTAATATAAGATTCATATTTTTCGGCTATTATATATATATATCCCATTCATGGTTTCATAGCCGCCCTTGTTCGGATTGGTAATATAATTATATATTACTGAATATAGAATGGTCAGTAGACGAAATAAAATCTGAGATCAAAGTTCTGGATTTATATGAATGAGTAAACAAAAAATATTATGTCACAAAAAGCATCACGCTATCGCCAGAAGAAAAAAAATCTATATCTATATATATATAATCACCAATATATATATATATATATATATTTAAGGTCAAAGTTCAGAGTTGTAGGATGAATAAACAATAAATATTATGTCACAAATAATTCAATTTATATCAAGACCAGGACTTGTTTTTATTGTACTGAATTCATGCAAATATTTCTTCTTTTAAATTTATATAGTTTATTGTGAAATTAGAGAACATGTGAAATAATCAAAATACTCTATGGAACGAACCACCATTAGCAACCACTGGAAGGGATTGCTAGTGGACACCATTAGTTGCGGGTCACGGGTTCACTGCTGTGAGAACGATTAAAGCCTCTATTCTCTTATCTTATCCTAGCGATGTGGGAGTGGGACCCACTGTTTGTTTGTTTGTTTGGCCAAAGGAACCCACTGTTTGTTAAATTATTAATTGCGCTAGCTGTTGGCGAGTTATTGAAAACAGACTTGAGGGAGATGGATTTTGTGGATCCAGTGAGGAGCATAATTTCACTAAGAGCCTTTATTATAATTATTAAATTTTATCAGTATTTAAAAAGTATTAAGATGTATTTGTTTTTAGAAATTTAAAACGATTCTCAAGATCAAAGTATTCCTTGGCATATTTTGTCCATTCTAAAAATTTGAAATTTGATACATTTTGAGTATTATATAAAAAAATATCTTATAATTGTTCGATTAAATCAAATGATTGTTATCGTATTACGTGAAATGCTTATTGATTGAGTAAAATTAGGTTATTCATCGAATTTAAATCCAAAAATTTAAGGGTCAAAAAATGAGTAGGTTGTGCTGTGCATTTTAGTCTATCAAGCAAATAAAAATACTACTTTTATGGATAGTTCGAGCTCTTTTTCATGAGACTTAAACAAGTTTGTCTTAAAAGCCCAATTACGTTAAAATATTTCAATTTTTTAAACCTACGCCTAAAAAAAAGGCTTGAACAAATAGCGCACCAATTCATATTCCTATCTTTGGGTAGAAGACGAGATTAAGAACTTGTGATAGAATAGTAAAGAGACAACATACTTAAGGGTGAAAGAAGGTCACAGGACTTATAGGCTGGCCTACTTCATGCCAGGCCAAGTTTAGGCCTTTGATTAGATTTATTTATGTAAATAAGCTAAGTCTATTTTTACAAGGCTAACTTACGAGCCTCATAAGCTAGCTTACACACACACACGCACACGCACACGCGCGCGCGCGCGCACACACACTATATATATATATATATATAATATATTACGCATGTATAATACTTTTTTCGTCTCAAATTATAAGACATTTTTAGACAAAATTTTTTATACCAATACTTTCTCCGTCTCAAATTATAAGATATTTTTAGACAAAATCTCATATACCAATAAATTTCATTAAATACACTTAACAACCTTATCTTTTTAAAATAAAAATATAAACTTTCAAAAATACCAATCATTTAATATATTGAAAAGAGAAGAGACATAAATTAATTATAAAGAGAGAAAGGGTAATATTATAATTAGTGCATTTAATGAAACCTTAATCTATTCAAAGTGTCTTATATTTTAAGATGGAGAAATTCTTTCGAAAGTGCCCTATAATTTGGGATGGAGAGAGTATGTAGTATACAATAGGTGATTTAAAAATTCAGATACAGTCAACCCCACTCTCTTTCTTTACCCCTTGTTCTTTTTCTAGGTCAAAACTTGAAAATATTAGATGGTCCTTCTTTGAGTATGTTCTTGTTTATTATATATTGTATGATGAATTTATGATATACTAGTTTCACATTTTTCTTTATAATCAATATGTTCTTTTTCATGATTTCTAGTTTCTTGGTTATGTTTTCAATTAGATTAGGCTTATGCATGTATTGATTTCAATTTTGTTATTGTGTTTATAGTTGATAAGTCTTCTTGCTTATTATGTATTTTAGTTGGTAAATTAGGCTGTACATATATAACCTTTAATGCTTTAAAGCTTATCATGTAAGCCTATTTAAATGGCATAATTTTAAATAGGCTTTTAGACATGCTTCTAAGTTAAGTCAGACTTCAAGTAGGATTAGACTTGAGCTGTAAGAAAAGCCTTATTTTAAATCAGCTTTTAGACATGCTTCTAAGTTAAGTCAGACTTTAAGTAGGATTAGACTTGAGCTGTAAGAAAAGCCTTATATAAGTAAGCTTTAGGCTAGGCTCATGCTTATTTGGCAAAAGCTTAACTTGGCCAAGCCTATTTTCACTCATAAACATGATTTGCTTACAAAAGAAGCTAGATGAACCAGTATCTATATATGTCCATCTCCATCTCTATCATGCAATAAATGCTATGTATCATTGACTAAAACATCATTTTTAATATTCTTCAAGGGAAAAGGAGGCCATTAAGGCATGTTTCAGGTAAATAAATTTTTATTTTTGTTTGGGCAAGAAGAAAATTGACCTTGGCTTCTAGCTTATAGCTCTATAGTAATCATTATATGATTTAATGTCCCAACAAATTAATAAAGACTAATTGCGACCATTCACTATGGTAATTAATAAAATATATATTAAATTACGAATGCATTTCATTTGATTAAACAGAAATAGAGATATCAGTTCTAATTAAATTTCCAAAATAGATTGAACATTAATGCGTGCTAACATGACCTGAGCAAATCAATGGTATTGCAATGGTGGCTACTATGCTTTTTTCTCAATTTCTTATATTAAATGTGTATATATAATTCTCAATGTTATACTAGTGCCTATTAGTTGTGTGTGGAAGATTATGTGTATTTACAGTTCTTTTTACATTTTTGTCTTCTAATTAATTGCAGTGATAGCGAAAGTGGAGGTGGGGATTTTTTTTTTTGAGTGAGAGGCCACAGGTAAATTGTGCTATCCGACATGAATAGTCATGTCATCATACAAAATATTCCTACAGCCAAGGGACACTGAATCCAAAATAAGTACATCAAAATTATCAGTAGAGGCTTGATAGGTTAACCAATCTATGTATTTTTTCGCTTATCTAAAAGCATGATCAAAGGTAACATTTCAGTTTTGCAAAATGCGATCTTTGATATCATTGATGGTAGCAGAAAGTGGGTGATTGGTAAAGAACTTGAAACATCCTGAATTTCAATCCCAATTGCTAACCAATGGTAAATTAGTAATTAGTAGATTGATTATGGTTTGTGTGTTGAGTTGATGCTTTATATTGTTTGGATGTTATATTGATAGGAATGAAGGGTAGATAGGTAATCTGAGATATAACGTGTGAGCACAAGTGAGATTGGACTCATTGTGCCACGCACCGCAGCAAAGGCTGTGTGCGTCGCAGTGTATTGTTCAAGGATCATTTAAAGTTGACATGATCATCTCTTGAAATTAGAAGAGGAATTGCTAGGAAATACAGCTGGAGAGGAGAAGAGGTTCCCATCTGTTAGGGTAAGCCATATCTAGAGGTTTGAAGTTTGTTTCAATTAATAACTTGCTGGGTAAGTATCGTGCAATCTTAAGCTTCATTTCTATCCCATTTTTGTTGAATTTCATCAATTGAGAAATCGAATCATGAAGTTCTAAGGTGTTATAATCTAAAAGAAAATGTTAAAATGAGATATCAAATATAGAACTAAGGTTTTGTGACTAGTATGGGGTTGAATGGTTGAGCTTTAAGGATTTAGGCTTAAGATAGCCTAAAAGTTAGGTTAAATGAAAAAATTACTGTTAAATAATGTATTAAGAGATTGTTATGGCTGTTTGAGTAGCCTATAGGGCTAATGACTATAAATGCTGGACGTATGAATTTAAAAGGTGTTAATTGAATCATTTCATATGTTAAGGAATTCGGTTTAGTTGAATTAATACCTATGTAAA